AGTAAACCTACACATGATATATATGTTAAGTTTTAAAAATAGGAACAGACTTGCAGAAACGGACAAGTTAAAATTAAATGTCAGGGTTTCTCTGCCTTGGGCACTTTATTCAGGAGTTTAGAACTCTAAGGCCCAGACACTAGGCTGAGCTACCCACTTCTCACAGCACCTTCTTTCTGCTGAGCTCTTTGAGCGGCACACAAAAGTGAGGCGGGGGATAATCAAATGGGACCACCGGACTCCTGCTCAAAGGTAACCAAAGTTTCTTTTCTAACACATCCTGTCATATTCCTTATCCTCAAACCAAAGTTTGGCTTGGTTTAAAATTGTCAGCTGATTTTAAAGTACTGTTCACTTCAAATTCCATGGTCTTGATCTCATCTGATTATCCTTTTCTCTGTCCACCAACAATTTTAAATTATTTTCTTTGTTTTATTCCTTAAACGTTAATTTTCCTCCAATCTAATTCTCTACTCATGTGTTGTTCTACATTCACTTCCACGTCCTTTTGTGTGATGTAACATACCATTTTATATTGGCGATTCTTGATTTCTTTGAACTTATGGACCCTGATGAGAATACTTTTTCAGCATGTCCTACTGTCCCCATGAAACTTACTGAAAATGGCTTTATTTTTATTCTCTCCAGTCCCTTCTTTTCCATTTAATAACACTACCTATTTTAACAGCTTAAAATTTTAGAAGCATTTTGTTTTTGGGCTTGCCTAGGGACTTTGCTGGTTACTGCCCTGTATATTTAACAAATTCTCCAAGTAATTCTGATGCCCACAAAAGATTAAGAATCACTGTCTTAGAGAATCACCTTTGCCTTCTTTCACTACCCATATCCAGCGTTTTACTATGTCCTCTTAGTTCTTTTGCCCACACTGTCAGGACAGCCACTTGCTATTTCTATAGCTTTAGCCAATCTTAAATAGATTCTTAGAACTTCAAACTTCTATTATCTTATATATCCATTTTCTAGGACAGCCTTCTTCAGATATTGTTTTAACGCTGTGTTTTCCTGTTTAAATTTCAGGTATAAATTTGTATACTATATGATATCAATCTTGTTTTAAAAATACAAATGTGAAAGGAAATAACAAAAAAGATGTCAGTACCAGCTAACTTTGGGGATAATATTAGGAATGATTTTATTTTCCTTTTCTGTAGTTTTTTTTTTGTAATAAGCATGTATTTTTCTTTTATATTTGAAGGGTACAAACATTTTTTTTAACCTGCAGTGTTTCCCTATTGGTTTGTTTCACCAAGTGCAAATTCTTCTGTTGGGCTTGAAAGACCCCACAACCAGCTTTTACCGTCCCTGTTTTCCCACCGTAGTTTCACAAGTCCATTGGTTCTCACAGTCTGGTCCCTGGACCAGTAACTTCAGTGTCATTTAGATGTTAGAAATGCAAACTCTCAGGCCTCCACCCCAGACCTACTGAAATCAACTCGTGGGATGGGACTCAGCAAAGAGTTCTTCAAGTCCTGCAGGCAATTGTGATGCATGCTGAAGAACTACTGCACTACGTGTCTTCTCGTAGAGCTGCTGTAAATTTCCGGTTCCGCCTAAGCCAGTGTGTATGCTAGTGGTTCCCAACCTTTTCTGCCCATTGACATCACCTGGTCATCTTAAAAAATACTAACCCTGACCCCATCCCCAGACATTCTGATTTTATTGATATGGGGTGTGACACGGCCATCGAGGTTTTTAAAATGCTGCTCAGTTGATTTTAATGTGTCCACCGCTGGTGTGTGTGTGTCTTTCACCCAGTCAGCCCCTTCCATGGGAGTTCCTGTTTGCTAATCTCTGCTGTTTTCTTTCTTGAAAACCTGTTTACAACATACCCATTATAGGAATAATTTAATTACCCATGCCCTCCCCCCCACACACACCAGATCACTCCTTTATGATCCCTGGGATGTTTATATAAATTGCTTGACAGATAGTCCCAAGTCTCATTCATGAGTTCGTATTCCCAGTCGACTAACGCCTTGAACACAGGAAGCTATTCTTTTTTTTTTTTTTTAAAGAAATCTCTCCCATCTATGCTTCCTGCTCAGCATTCATGGGTCTCACAGAATACTAAGAAAAGGTATGACTGTTGTGAAGTACTGAGATGATTGTTGTGGATTCTTTATATAATTTTTTCATTGTATTTTAAGATGTTTCTTTAATTTTTATTTTGTAGCTACAACAGATCAACTTCATAAGCCTAATGCAAATCGTAGGATCATCCTTTGCTAACCTCCCAGATACACATCAACTTCTACAGCAACCTCAGCCTGGGCGTTTGGTGGGAAGCCAAGTATCAAACCCTGCAGGAGGGAGCAGTGATGCTGAAGCTACCAGCAGAAATGTGAAGGAGAGATTTTTCATTAAACCGCAGTCCATGGGCGAGCACGCCGGAGAGCCTGGCAAGAACAGCTCACACTGCCATAAAGGTGTGCAGTCTGATCAAACTAGTCATGGAAATTTACAGGTAATGCATTTAAAAATGCCATTAAAGTTGTCCTAGTAGTTCTATTGTTGGTTTTTGTTATTTGAGTAAATAACATTTTTGGCAGTTATTACATTCACCCCCTCCAAAACATATTGAACATCATTTACAAACTAAGGAGTTTGTAATACATTCTAAACTTATATAATAGCTTTTTTTTTTTTTTTTTTTAGCTGAGCCATCCTGCTACCTGTTGGCAGCTCAGCGGCTACTCAGCTCGGGCTGGACTCGAACTGCTGTTGCTCAGAGCTCAAACTCTTGAGCGAGCTCTTAACCAACTGAGCCACTCGGCCGGCCCAGCTTTTTTTTTTTTTTTTGTAAGATTTTTATTAGGGAATTGGGGGGATGGGAACAGCGCTGGGGAACTGGGGGAAGGGGAACAGACCAGTTGCTGTCGTTTTTTTTTTGTTCTTCAGTCTAGTTGTGGAGGACATTGCTTCACTGGCCCAAGCTGGCACCATCATTGCGCTCTTCCCAGGCGAGGCAGATCAGTCGCCGGCTTCTGGACGGCCGCTCACTGCGGCTGCTGGCCGCTCACGCTGGCTGCTGGCTACACACGGTAGCCCATGGCAACCCACTGCAGCAGGGGCTGCAGCCTATGCCGTCGCCGGCGACTCACGGTAACCCAGCTCCAGGTTGAGCTGTTGTTCAGCATCTTAGCTGTAGAGGGCAGTGTCACTGGCCCTCATATGTGGGATCCGAACCAGGGCCCTCTGGCGTCCCAAGCCAGCTCTTAACCATTGTGCCACTTGGCCAGCCCCATAATAGCTTTTTTTCTCTTCCAGAATGTTCCCCATGGGAGTATTCCTTGTCAATTAGAGAACCAGCCCCAGACTAGAGGATTGCCTCCAGCATCGGAAAGCTTACCGACCATTTCATTGTCCTCAGCCCCTGCTGCAAATACTCACCTCTACCTTTTGTCCACATCTTCTGCCATTCCCAAGACGCCTAGGCTTATCCCCCCAGCTGCAAAAACGTTCAGACCTGGTGATGGTTTTCCTTTGCTTCAGTTTCAGCCTAAGCCTGAGTCTAAGCCCCTTTCCTTCCATAAAGAAAGAGTTCCGCAAGTTCCCTCCAGGCCGCAGCCACAGCCAAGAGAGGCATGGGGATCATCCGATTCCTTCGAACCCCCTTTGCCACAGAGAGGAATGCACATGACTTCGATGTCCCATTTGAATTTGAGCCAGTATAATACTGATGCCGTGAAAAAGGCAGTGGAACAGAAGAAATGGGAAGAAACTGTAATTACAGAAATCCCTAAGCATGTGAACTTGGATCAGTATGTGGGACAAGAAAACTTGATACCTCAACAGGACTCTTCAATATTTATAAAACCAGAAAAACTATTCGATGATAAGCCAGGGCCCCTTGAGAGATCTCCTCAGAACTCCTTTGGACTTCCATTATTGCACCTGCAACTTAAACCTCCGTATATGTTTTCTTCCATCTCAAAAGCATCAGTTACAGTTCCCTCAATACCTGTCAGAACTGTAGCAGAAGAAAGAAAATACCCAAGACTATCATTACTTCATTCATGTCTATCTCAGGAAACTATGGTAATGATGTTTGCAGAGTGATACAAAAGCACAGTTCTGCGTTTTTCATACTACAAATACTATACATTCAATGAAAAGCTCTTACACATTTCTTTTGTAAAAATAATGCTTCTGTATTGAAAATAACATAAAACTAGGTTTAAAATAATAATTGGGTATTTTAAAGGCTTTAGGTCTTTCTTGTACATTAATACCAGAATTTGCTGAATTCTTTTACACATTTTTTTCTCAGAAAAAAGTAGTAAAATAAAATGACCAGTATTCTTATTCGTGTGTGTTTAGAGAGAAAGAAAGAGAACATTGTTTGAGGTATCTAAAAATTGTGATAGGATTGCCTTCAAATCTGTTATAGGTTAAAATTGTTAACAGACTCAGGTCTATAAGTAGTTGTACATATTTGAAAAACAGTATCTTTTTAAAGTATATACTTAAAGTACAAAGATTGAATTTTAATAAGCACACCAAATCTTTTTAAAAGTTGCAACCTTTGATTTATAAAATTCAAATTGTTTAGACTCTGTTTTTTTAAGTCAGTGGTACCATCTTAGGAATGTAATTGAGTAATTAATTCTCTGGTGCACTTTTAAGATTTAAAGATGATATTGGGGGAAAAAAATGGTCATTTCCTTAGAAGTACTTACCATGCCTCTTCTGAACACATTATGAACAGAAAAGAAAGATTAAAGGAGTGGAAAAGGATTAAAGGAGTGGAAAAGTAGACATTTTAAGAAGGATTTAAAGAAATATTTTTATTAGAATAGTATCACGAACCCCAAAGTTACCATCATGCAGCATCAGTGGTTATCAACATACTACTAATCTGTTCCATCCATAATCTCCACCCTTCTACACCCTCCCTGTTCCAAAGAATTTTAAATGCAAGACATTAGATAATTTCATTTATAAGAAGGAAGATTTTTAGCATGGAAAAGAAATTAAGAAGATGAGGACTTATAGCTTAATTTCTGAATAGGATAACCCAGTTGAAATTTTCAGCACTCCAAAATCATTTATTTAAGATCTGGATACTCATTTTACCAGACCATCTGTAATTTATCTTTGACATGTTCTATCTATAGCACATTTTAGCTTAATTTAAACAAGTGTTTTTTCCAATTTTTTTAATATATTGCATAATTGAGGTTTGTCATTTCAAACTAATGTTCTGTTTCTTGCTTATAGTACAAAAACCCTCAGCTTATTCCACTTGAAAACCTCATTGCATTCAAACAAAGCCAACAGAAACTAACACATTTATTTGAACAAGGCGACCCTGGACACCTTCAGCTTCTTAAGGTCAAAATAGAACCATCTGAAGTGAGACAAGGAAAGGACAGTAAAAAAAGGCAAGTTTTAAGTGGAATTTTATTTGAGAATATCACATACCTGGAAGTTTTAGTTATAATAATGTCGTTATAAAGATGGAAATCATCTGGTCAAACCTCCTACCCTATATCCAATTGCATAGTCAATTTCCTTGTCAAGTGTCATGCATTTGAACACATCTTGTGATGAGGGAAATTTTTATATTATGAGACACAAATACTATTATTTTTTCCATTTCATAAAGAAATTCTTGGGAACATTTGAGAGCTTGCTTCCCAGCATGTCATCAGCTTGGCTCAAATAAACTCAAACTCTCATTAAAAAAATAAAAAAGAAAGTCTTTCCTGGCATTCATAGGCTGGAGTATTCTTTTACAGTTTTCTGTAATGGGGTGAGCAGTCATCTTTTGCAGCAAAAATATTTGGTATCTCATACAGTGTTCCATGTACTCTCCAATACACTGAACTAATGTTTATTGTAACTCGTCTTAGCAGATCCTCCAAACTCTTATACAGAAAGCAGGAGGGTAAGTGATGTGAATTGTTTCAGGGCACTAAGAAATGTGCATGTGAAAAGGAAGGCCATGACTTCTGATGATGAGCATTTATAGTGTTTTACTCATAATGGATGTTCAGTACATGTGTTCACTAGCATAATATTACTGAGTCTAAAAAATACTCTTAAGAATTTTACATTTATCAAACCCTAAATTCTACCAGAACTCTCTTCCCAGAAATGATTCCTTCCCTCCATCTTTAACAGGTATTCCTCTTCAAAGTAAGTTTCCCCCTTAACTTTTTGGGGCCTCTTTACTCCTTGCTGGGAATTTGCTGAGGTGAATAAGGGTTCGTAGCTTCTTCAAATAGGTGAACGGAGGTATTTGAGAGGGCTCATGGGGCCAACTCAGAATCTGCAGAAAAGAGAGTTTGAAAATTACCTGAAAGGTATTATATGACTCTGACCAGAGATTCTAGTGACTTACACAGAAAAGTCAGTTCAATAGCAGAGGATGTAGAAATAACTTTCACGTGACTTTTGCTTGTATTCTAGCAGAATAGCTTGCTAGTTTAATTAAATGCCATTGAAAACAATTTATTGACATAATTTTCATAACTGTCTCCCTATATAGCATGATACAAATAAAAATACTTTTACCAAAATAGTAAAACTATATTTTACACTGTTGTCTTTAACAGGCAAAGACGACGAGCTGAGAAAGAGTTGCAAGAAAAAAGATCAGAGAAACTGAGGAGAAAACCAAGTGTGACTTTCCAACCAGAGGATTCCATCATTAATGATAATGATTCAGAAACAGTTATGAAACCCCAGGTATGTAAAAACTATTAGACATGCTTCTCTGGGCTGCATGTACACTTGAGTTCAGAATGGCCTGTGGTTTATCTGGTCATCTGATTGTGACTAGGATAATCTTTACGTCATTATGTACATAAATCCATGCTGTGTCCCTCCATGAACAGCAGACGTACAGTTGTGAATGTGGAAAGCAACTTGATGGTAAATCAAAATCTGTAGTTTAGAGCATCTGCCTATGTGACTTTTTTTATTTAAAATCACTCTTTGCTTTTTTCTATGACATCTTAATGCACATTATGTGTTGTTGAGTTTCTCCAATTACAGTTTCACCCATCTCTTGTAGGTACCTCTAAGATTTCCCAAATATAGATTTATTATGTAACCTATATTTTAAATCAGATCTTTTCAAACATTCCTTCTAAATTTGGTGACTCTATTTACCTATTTTTGCAACAACAGATTAAGTAAACAGAAACAGTTTGGTTTACATGGATTTTTAAAAGGCATACATTTTCATTAAGTCCTCAAAAGCATGTGTGGAGTCACTTAGTAAAAATGTTGATCCATGAATAATTTTGATAGGATGGGGATACCATCACAGTGTTAAAGCTACTGTGCAGGAGAGATTTGCAATCGTAATTTAGTAATTGCATTCAGTTGATAGTGCTCTTTTTTTATTGTTTGACTTATGAATTTCGTGAACTCCTTTGTAATTACTTTGATAGAGTAAATAATTTGATAGAGTAAATATTTCTAGAATTATAGGATTTGAATCTGCACCTAAGATGTAACAATTCTTGTAGATACTATATATATATTTTTCAAAATAATAAATGTCCTTGAGTTAATCATAGATTGATCATTTGGGGATTCATTTAGGAGCAACAAGAACATCATGATTCCAAGCCTTTGGATGACTTTGAAATTCCTTTTGGTATGTATATGCATGATTAATGTAATGTCTAAGTTCAGAGTTACAGTCAGCCTTCTAGATAGCTAGAAATATGTATATAAAAATGACATTAAATTCTTCTCACATTATCTTTGATAAGATGGTGTGTGTGTGTGTGTGTGTGTGTGTGTGTGTGTGTGTGTTGTGTGTGTTTGTGTTTGCGCACATGTGCGCATGCAGGTGCATTGACGTGTTATCCAATAGAGCACTGCTTGCTTGACAAATTATGGCCCACAGACCATGACAATTTTTTTTTTTTTTAAGATTTTATTGGGGAATTGGGGGAAGGGGAACAGACAAGTTGCTGTCCTTTTGTTCTCCAGTCTAGTTGTGGAGGATGTCGCTTCACTGGCCCAATTTGGCACCATCATGCACTCTTCCCGGGCGAGGCAGATCAGTCGCCGGCTTCTGGACGGCCGCTCACAGTGGCTGCTTGGCTGCTTACGCTTGCTGCTGGCTACATATGGTAGCCCATGGCAACCCACTGCAGCAGGGGCTGCAGCCTACGCCGGCGACTCACAGCAGGCCAGCTCCAGGTTGAGCTGTTGTTCAGCATCTTAGTTGTAGAGGGTAGTGTCACTGGCCCTCATATGTGGGATCCGAACCGGGGCCGTCTGGCGTCCCAAGCCAGCTCTTAACCAACATGCCACTCGGCTGGCCCCATGCTGATTTTTTTTTTTTAAAGATTTTTTATTGGGGAATTGGGGGAAGGGGAACAGACAAGTTGCTGTTGTTTTTGTTCTTCAGTCGTGGAGGACGTTGCTTCACTGACCCAAGTTGGCACCATCATTGCGCTCTTCCCAGGTGAGGCACATCAGTCGCTGGCTTCTGGACGGCCGCTCACTGCGGCTGCTGGCCACACCGTCGCTGGCGACTCACAGCAGCCCAGCTCCAGGTTGAGCTGTTGTTCAGCATCTTAGCAGTGTCACTGGCCCTCAGATGTGGGATCCGAACCGGGGCCCTCTGGCATCCCAAGCCAGTTCTTAACCATCGCGCTACTCGGCCGGCCCCCGATTTTTTTTAAATCAAATTTTATTGCAACAGAGCCATGCCCAATTAATTTACACATTGTCTATGACAGCTTTCGCGCTGCAGCGGGTTCAGTTCTTGTAAAAAGGGACACATGGTTCACAAAGCCTAAAATATTTACTACCTGGCCCCTCACAGAAAAAGCTTGCTGACTCCTACAGTAGAGCAATGCAGTTAATTAGAACCTCAAATAAGATATTGATTTATAAGGCTTAAGAGGAAATTATGAAAGAACGTGCTTAGGGTCAAACTCATCATAGAAAATACATGCACATTAAAATAAAGGAATTAGTTTTTTCAACTGGTCAATTTATTTTTGCCACTGAATGTATGTATTCCCCAAGACTTTTTCCTCAGTAATTTTCATACACCTACAAACAAACACTCTTGTGCTTATTAAGGCCATTCACTCTCATGACTTCAGCTCTTAAATTATTTGATGACACTCAAATATACATCTACCGTCTCTCATCTTTTCTACCTTCACCTTCAATTCAACATGTCCAAGTTTTGAATTGGACTTTGATTCTACTTCCTGCTGAACTTTTCTACTTGGGTAGAAGTTACCTCAAGTACAGCATGTACAGTCTGCATTCATTATCCCTTCCTCGCCAACTGGTTGTTGTTCTTTGTTCCCTGTTTTTGTTTGTGTCGCTACCAACTTAACCCCAAGACATAGGTTATTCTGAATTCTTCCTCCCCACTTCCCCTCTCATCCAGTTAATAATCAGTTCCTTCCTATATTTCCTCCTTTGTAATTTTTCAATTTATCCCCTCTCCTCCATTCCTCACCATTACTAGGTACTTATTTGAACTGATGCAGCAACCTCATTTATCTGATCGCCTTGCTTCAGTTTCGTCCACTCAAATCTATTTCCCACACACTGGCTGAGGTGGTTTTCTAGAATATTAATCTGACCATATCACTTTCCTTCTTAATAATTCCTGGACTGTCATCAGCCAGAAGAATATCTGGGTGTCTAGGTTGGGCATGGAGTCCTCCACAGTTTTGGTTTCGATTCCACTGAGCTGCCTTTGAGCAGCTCAACTTAGATACCGCCTCATTCAGAAAGTCCATTTTGATAACACCTTGACACCCCACACCTCACCTCCCTTGAGTTAGGTACTGTGCTTGGGCTCCTGGTCATATATGGGCTTCTCAATGATTGCTTCCAATGTTTTGTTTTTATATTTAAGAAATGCTACAAGATGATGTTCATACTTCGGCTGGATTGCATTTCATGGCCTCTGTAAGAAGGAAAGCTATAGAATGTCAGGATGCAAGTACAAATACAGACCCAGGTAAAATGCTATTTTACTTTAGCTTTAAAAATTCATATATTTTACGATGTTTACTATATCTAGACTTTTTCTTCAAAACTGATTTACAGAGAATTTTTTTTATAAGATTTTATTGGGGAATTGGGGGGATGGGAACAGTGCTGGGAAATTGGGGGAAGGGGAACAGACAAGTTGCTGTAGTTTTGTTCTTCAGTCTAGTTGTGGAGGATGTTGCTTCACT